TGATTGCGAATCTATCTATAAATATAATAACAAATGTGGCAGATCATTCTTCCTTGGGCATCAATGTTCATCTGCAAATTATGAAGATTTATCGGATAATAATAAAAATAACCGGATATTTTCAAAAAGACAATTAAACAAAACGATAAAATCGGGTCTAATCTCCAATTTTGTAGAATATTGTGCTAGAGATATTATGTATTTTAATTTTTATTAAATTATTCTTTTATCTTTTTTAGGCCCTTTCAAGCTATTCAGGGACTAATTTTACAAATATTTGTCGATTTAGGAGCCACATATGGAAAATTGGAAGCCGAAAAAATTATTCCTTGCTCCACAATCGTTAGCAGGCACATAGCCGAAGTTACTGAGGATCTTAAGGAAATATTATTTCCTAAAATTGGAGAAATGATAAAATTATATTTGCCCATGTACTACTGATATGTGGTGCAAGGATTTTACAAAAACCGATTATATATATTTATCAATACAAAATTGTAAATTAGAAAAAAATTTTTCTTTTATTTCACAATTTCAAGAGAAAAAAAAGAAGAGAGAAAATATTTTTAAAGTTTTTTAAAAAAATTTAAAACTTGGTGTTTCCCGGGAATATTTTTCCAAGCTCATCTTTGTAACGGACCGAGGAGTAAATATTAAAAAAGCGCTGGAAGGGTAAATTTTTTATAAAATTTATAATTGATAGATATTATAATAATTTATGAGAGATTCTGTTCTGTATAAACCTAAATAAAAACATTCATATTTAGAGAACTATATTTTACGTTTATTTTTTCAAATATTAGATTTAATAAACTAAACTGTTCAGCACATATGTTGAAAACAATTTTTCGCAATGCATTCCAGCCAACTTTTATTTTGGAAAATGCTCCGAGATTAATAACATTTTGATCACTGCAAAATCGTTGACCACTTATTTCAAACAAAGTGGCAACATAACATATCTGAGCAAGATGTAACAACAAAATATTGATATAAGATGGATACAAAGCATAATATGCCACAAAGCATTTATATAATGTATGAGATTTCTTTGTTCTTACAATCTTGTGATATGAGTGAAAAAATCTATGGGAAAGAAAGGTTTGAAAACACTGATAGATTATTTGGAGCCATATAAAAATGCAACTAATGTTCTTGAGAGCGACTGCAGGCCTACAGTACAGAACGTTCTTATATGGTATGAAAATTAATATATGGGGATTTATGTATTATTTCTTTATTTATAAAAAAAAATAGGTAAAATCTTCTTCTACATAAGCATAATCAAATAAATATGGATATAATGGGAAAAAAGATTGTGAAAGAAATAGATTTAATAAAGAAAAGAGCTAAAAAAATTATAATTAAAAAATTTGAAACCCATATGCTTCATAAAATTTCAACATTTTTAATACCTAAGTTCCAACAAATGAGGATGTTGACGTCAGAAGTAATTAATGAAGTAAAAAAAACATATTGAACATGTTGGATTTTTTTTGCATCGAATATAACATCGATGTGAATTTTTACCCGTTTCCCCAAAAGCAAAGAGAATCCAATTAAAGGGTATTAATAAATTATAAAATCGCTTAGCTATATTAAATGCAATGTTTGAAATAAATAGCATCCACATTAAAATTAAACCCCGACATATGGGAGGATGAGGTTGTTACAGAATAGGCCTATTCAAAAATAATTCGAATATTAGATTCGATTCAAATAATTCGAATCTAATCGAATAATTACGAATACGAATAATAAATTATTTGTTTTATCTGAATACGAATAATCATTTATTCGATTCGAATAAAACGAATTATTCGAATAAAACGAATTATTCGTAATATTTAATAAATTGTTTAATAAATCTAACATTTGTCATTTCTATTTGTTGACCTGCCAATCTGACAGGTGATGTGTTTGTGTTTATAAAGATTCTAGTACAAATTTAAAAATTTCTGAAGTGAAAATTTAAATTTTTATTTGCCACATTTTTTGAATCTCACGAAAAGTTTATTTTTTGAATCTCATAATAAATTATATTAAAAATTAAGCAAACCAGAGGTATATAAAAATATATTACATCTCTAACAATAATTATTGTTAGCTAACCTAATTATGTTAGAGGAGAATGTTTCTGATGAAATTATGCTTGATGTTAAAGATAAGAAAATTTCCTCACAAAAGAGAGCAATCATATGGGATCAATATCAAATCCTTAAAGAAGGTGAAAAGGCTTCTTGCAATCATTGCAAGAGTAATATAAAATGTAAAGGCAAAACAACCTCTACTCTTATTAATCATTATAACAGGTTTCATTCACACCTTAGTAAAAAAAATAATAAAATTGACATTTTTTTAAAGTCTACACCAAATTCTTCAAAAAAAAATTAATTTTAAGGATAATTTATTAAAATTATTGATAAATAATAATATACCTTTTAAAATTATTAATTCAAATGATTTTAAAAATTTTATAAGTGATCTTGATTGTTCTGTAAAATCATTATGCTCCAATACTTTTAATTTGCACATTATAATATATTTGCAGATAAAGAACAGTTGGTAAAGGAAAAATATATAAAAATAAAAGTCAGTTTAATTTTTCATCTGACATTTGGACTAGCAGCACAGGTTCCTTTTTTAAGGCTAACAGCCCATTTTATTGATGATAATTTTAAAATAAATAACATAATTTTGGATGTCAGTCCAATAAATGAAACACATTCAGGTGAAAATATATTTAAAGCCTTTGTTAAAATAATTAAAATGTATAATTTAGAGAATAAAAATTTTTTTATAACTTTTAGATAATGCAACTAATAATAAAACAGTTATTGATACATTTTCTTTAAAATATCCATTAATAAAAATAGGGCACATCCGATGCTTTGCCCAAGTAATTAATTTAATATCCAAAGAAATTTTAAAAATTTTAGATCCTTCAATTCTAAAACTAAGAAACATTATTAAAATCATTCGTATGTGGTGGAAGGCAAATGCATATCGGATCCCCATGCTCTCCAAAATGGCAAGGGATTATCTATCTATACAAGGAACATCAACTGCTTGTGAAAGGCTTTTCTCAGTTGGAACTAATTTTGTCAAAAAACCGCATGTCATATAAGGAAGAAAATAAAAGAAAAACTCCTTGCCTTAAAAATTGGCTTAAATTATAAAATAAATAAATAATATACATTTTAATTTTGTTTATAACTTGATTATATATTATTTATTATCAGATTATTGATTACATATTATTATAATTTTTTCTGTTTAAAATCAAATTTGTAATAAAAAAATTTGTCAATATATTTGAGTATGATTTATTTTATTAAAAAAATTAATTCGAAATATTCGAATCGAATACAAATAGTAGAATTTATTATTCGTACAAATTCAAATAGTAAATTATTTGATTCATTTAAACAAATCGAATATGAATAATGCACTATTCGATTTGAATTCGTTTTTGAATAGGCCTATTACAGAATAACAAAATCTTTAAATCTACCAGTTTTGATATGGATAATTTAGAAAATTTTAAGCTGCATATTACAATTAATTTAAATTTTAAATTACTTTTTTAAATTTATTTTTATTGGTTTCACTTTTATTTAAAGATCTCACTTGAGGAAGAGGATATACTTCAAATGGATATCCTACTTTGGTTGAAATGACAAGAAATTGCCAAAGCTATCAAGATTAGCAATAAAAATATTGGCAATTCCTGAAACTAGTACTTCTTCTGAACAAGGATTTACCATTGCTGGAAAGTTTTAGAACAAAGAAGAAAGTGTTTGAATCCAGAAAATGTCAATTCATTATTACTTTTGCATTATAATTGTATATAATATCATATTAATATTATTTTCATAAATATTCTATTTGATTAAATAAAATGATTATTTTTTTATGCTTAAATTATTTTCTAAATTATAAACTTTTTGTAGAGGTGTAATGCTGAAATATTTTTATTAGATGCTTAAAAAATTGAAAGAATGGCCATAATTAAATTTTATAAGCAGACTTGGGTTAAAAATTTTTATAAATAATGGGCAGGTGGGTAAGAAATTTTAGACAAATGGGCAGGGCAGGCAGGTTTATATTTTTTGAAAACTATGGGTGGGCAGGTTAAATTTTTTTTAAACATTGGGTGGGTGGGGCTTTTGGTCCATAAACCTGCCCAATGCAGACCTCTAACCAAATAAACACTTACTAATATTTATCCACTTGAATGGCTAAAGTGGCCATTTAATAACACTGAATATTTGGATCAGAGTAAGGTAAATAATGCCATAACTTTTGTTCACAAAAATATTTTAAAATCTCGATAAAGTGAGCACTTAATATAAAATGATTAATTTGGACATTAAAAAATTTAAAATATGAAAATCATCTCAAAACAAAAAACTCAATATCTAAATTATAAAAATAATTAAAAGATAAAAATATTTTCTTCAAAAATGAAATTCAAAAATAATTTGAAAACACAATTTCACTTTAAAAATGGTACTTTCATTTTTGAATGAACATTATGATATTGAAAATATAATTATGATATTGCAAAAGGAATATTTTTGAAAAGATACTATATTGCAAAATGTCATATATGACTAAAAAAAAGTAATCAAATATGGCTAAGTAAATTACACAATAGCATATAAAATATAATATGGTTCATCAATACCAAAAGGTTGTACCCACTCTTTCCAAAAAATGAACACAATGTAAAAAATAAATTACTTTTTAATATGACTTAGAAATAATTAAATGTAGCCTGGCCAAAGGGCTTCAAAAAATGTCTGTAAAGCCTTCTAGTGAGGGATGCACAGGATAAATGTTAAATATTATTTAAAAAATGTAACATTTAAATTTAATACTGATTTACTTATCATTATGAAGAGAAAAAAACAACCTTAAAAAATATATTGCTTAGTTTTTCCAAATATTATAAAATAGGAAAAATTTATTGAGTTTAAAATACTGAAAGGTCTTACATTATTATCCTAGAGAGAAAGGCAGAGAGCATATTTATAAATATATTATCACATTAATAAAAACATTTATATTTTTGATAAGGTTCCAAAATTTAACATTTTCTTTGAAATACACTGCGCCTATCATAATAAAATAGGATGTATAATCATATGTTAGGGCTGTCATTAGTTTGACAGTATAAATAGATATATAATTAATCTCAATGTGGTGTACAACTATTAACAAAAAATAATACATGAAAGTCGCATTAAGGGCCTAGCCCTATGTGTTATATATATGGCAGAGTAATATACATAACAGAGCAACTCTTGCTTCGACAATTATGAGGAATATCCTCTTGGGAAGGACCTATAATTAGATGAACTTGTTATTTAAAAGTCTATAAGAAGTAAGAAGGTATAAAATGGCCTGTGCCCGATTAAATAAATGGTCAATTAGTAAGGAGTTTAGGGAGGTATAGTTTATTGAATATTTTTTATATTGTAGAGCAACTAGTGTTATTTAACGGTTGAGCCAAGCCGGCTTAGCCGAAAACAGCCAGATTTTGAGCGAAAAATTTGGCTCAGGCTCAAGCCATTGGCTCAGGTTCGCTCAGCCTTTGGCTTAAGCCGTTAGCTCAAGCTGTTGTATCACTCAAGCCGATTATTGAGGCTTAATTTATTTATTTGAGATTGGTAATAGTGTTGCTAAACGGCTGAGCCAAGCCGGCAAAACCCTAAACTCAGCCAGTTTTTGAATCAATAATTGACTAAAATTCATGCCTCCTCATTGAGCCCCTTTTAGTTGGCTGGTTGACTTGGCTCAAGCCGGCTAATGAGTTGCCTCAAGCCGCCTTTTAATCCAAAATTTATTTATTTGAGATTAGTTTTGTTAAACGGCTGGCCAAGCCGGGGCCTAAACTCATCTAGTTTTTGAGTCGAAAATTGACTCAAGCCGACTCTTTGAGCCAAATTAGGCGGCTGGCTCGAGTCGGCTCATAACTTGGCTCAAGCCGACTTTTAAGCCGAAATTTATTTATAAACACCTGAGCCAAACCGGCTTAGCCTTAAATTCAGCTTGTATTTGAGTCAAAATATGACTAGGCTCAAGCCCAGGGTTGCCAGGTCAAAATTTTCAAATTGCGGGAGAAATTTGGGATTATGCGGGAGAAATATAAAATTTGCGGTAGAAATATAAAAATGGCTAAAAAAATTTTGCGGCGGGATTTGGAATTGACTTAATTATCCGCCTATTATTTTTTATTTAGTTTATATAAATACAAAGTCGGTAACTATTTTTCAAAATAAAATAACATCTTGATTTATTAAAATATATTAATTTATAAAAAAAAACCAATTATCTTTTTTATATATAAAAGAATGTAAACAATAAAAAAATTTATTTAAAAAAAACGATTTTAATTTTACAATTAAAAAAATATTTTATGCGAATGTCCCGCAAAACGACCGCAATTGGAAATCTACCGTGTGTGTGGATAACATTATAGGGATAGGCGCTTAATATCACGTATCACGTTTAAATACATAATAAGGTACTCCAAAAATAAGAAGATGGAACTACAGTTGCGGCAATTGTAATCACTTATCTTGTAATACAACATTCACAGAGATACCTATTATCACAATGTTGGTTGAATCCTTTTCCCATAATATTTAACGACTCTAATATAAATGAAAATTATACTTGTGGATTGAGCAAGGCTATCATCAATGTTTTAAGATCTAAATCCAGGTGGTCAATTCTAGACGATTTGAAAAATGTGCATACATATGTAATTCTAACAGATGCATCTAATAAAGGAAATATTATTAAGGTCGTTTCAATAAAACTATTAAATTTTTTCCCCTCAAATAGTGAAAAATCTAAAGACATAGCTAACCATATAATGATAAATATAGCAAATTCGAGATTATCAATAAATTGTATGTCAGCTTTCTGATCTGATAATGTCTCAGTGAATTTGGTAAAAACAGAGTGTATTTACAGAATTGAGTCAGCACAATGTTGGTTGCAATATGTTCTTAATACCCGCCATCGATAGAATTTTAAAATTTTATAAACCTTTAAAAAAATATTTCTTAAATAAAGATTATAAAAGCTGTCCTAATATTTTGAAAATTTTTTTCAATAATAGAGGTATATTTAGGAATGATTTCACATGTATGAAATCTACTACATGCTGTTAATGTGTAGTTGCAATAAGAAGAATCTTAACAAAGATTCACAAAATTATGCTGCAGATGTGTTCATCTTTACAGTTAAAAATTGACAATAAACTTTATGGCGCTATTTCTAAGACTTAATTATATTTTATTTGAGATTAAATAATAGAACTAAATGTTTATCGCCGTTATTGAGATATTTATAAAAAAATTCCTGGCATGACATATTATATATTGTTTAACCATTAGCTCGGCCTCTAACGTTGTTAAAGCAATCCGATTTCTCTCCTTTTTCCAAGCAGTCCTCATCAGGCTAAAAATGAGCTCGGATCAGGCATTAGAATGAGGTTAGGAGAAGACATACTCGCATATTTTTCCCAAGCATTTGGATTTATCGTTATTAAGAAAAATTTCTACCCATTTCTCCTCTGCTTTTAGACCATTTAACTTTAAGTATTTTGGCGAATCATAAAAAATAGAGAGAATTACAATTTCCTCAAACAAGAAATCAATGTCTTTCGGTATTTTTAATAAATTTATTAAATTATAAAAACCATCAATTGATGGTGTCTGTTCCAAGGTCATAATATTTATACATTTGTAAATAAAGTTATTAAAATCAAATTTTGATTGTAAATATTCTAATTGTATTAATAAAAATATCTGCTTCATTTAAAAATGTATTAATTAGAGTATTATTTGAACATTTTAATATAATATTTTTAGCAATAGCGCCATAAAATTTATTATCAATTTTTAACTGTAGAGATGAACAGAGTTGTAGCATGATTTTGTGAATCTTTTTTATAAATAATATTCTGATTGCAACTGAATATTAACTGCATGAAGTAGATTTCCTACATGTGAAATGAATCCCAAATATGCTTCTGCCATTTTATACTCGAAAAATTTTTTCAATATTTTAGGACAGCTTTTAAAATCTTTATTTAATAAGTATTTTTTTAAGGGTTTGTAAAATTTTAAAAACTCTTTTAATTTATTAACTATTTTAGTTGATGACTAAATTCATTAAAACATTTCATCACAATTATTTCGACATCCACAGAGAGTACATTTATTGCCTTCTTGCAAGAATTATGTAGTATATGGCATATACAGCCAATTGGTATTAATATTTATTATGCTGTCTCAATTCGACTTTCGTTTTTGCCATAATTTACAGAGGCATTATCAGCGCAGAAAGCTGACATACAAATCATTAATAACCCTGATATTTACCATTATGTGGCTAGCTACATTGTTGGATTTTTCACTATCCGAGGAAAAATTTTAACAGTTTTATTGAAATGTTCTTATTCTTGTTAAAATAGCGAAGGATCGAGGGAAATGTTTTAATATTTCCCTTATTAGTTGCATCTGTTAGAATTGCATATGGATGCCCATTTCAAATCGTCTAGAATTGACCTCTAGAATTTAGGTACTAAAACACTTGTGATAGCCTTGCTCATTTTTGTTCTGCCACAAGTAAGGTTTGCACTTATATTGGAGTCGTTCAATATTATGAGAAAAAGATTCGACCCACATTGTGATGATATCGCTCTGTGAATGTTGAGCTATATGATAGATGTATACGATTTCCGCAAATGTAGTTGCATCTTTATTATTTATTATTTGAGAATATTTTTGTATTGAAATCGATGTTAATATACTCCCCTGTACTGACTTATATGAATCAAATGATGTTGATTTATTATTGGATAAAAATAAAACAGGATAGAAAGAAATTCACAAACTAGACATGTTTTTCGAATAAATATTATAAATTATTTTAAAAATATAAAAATAATCAATTAATGTCTCTCCAAATTATTATTTATATATTAAAAATGTTAAAATACTTTTAAAAAAATTGCGGGAGAAATTAAAAAATTGCGGTAGATTTTTGCGGGAGATTTCCAATTGTCTTAGTTTTGCGGGAGAAATATGTCCGCGTGTAAACTAATAAATTGCAGGAGTCTCCCGCTGATGGGGGAAGACATGGCAACCCTGGTCATGAATACAAATTATATACTTGAGTCGACTAGAGGACAAACAGTTCTATGACTTGAGACGTTAACCTGAGCATTTTTTACTTTAGACTTCCAGTCGTGAATACCAATTATATACTTCACTAGACTAGAGGTCGAATAGTTCTATGAACATGAGTCATAACTTGAGTCAACTAGAGGACGAATATTTCAGATTTATTATTATTAATTAAAATATTTGTTCTGTTTTTTACATTTTTTTACGACTTCTAACTTGAGTCGTGAATAAGAATTATATACTTGAGTCGACTAGAGGACGAATAATTCTATGAACTTGAGTAGATTAGAAGACTAATATTTCAAATTAGTTAGTTATTAATTAATTAAGATATTATTTCTATTTTTTACATTTTTTTACTTTAGACTTCCAACTTTAGTCATGAACAGTGTTGCCAGGCCCCCCCCCCATCAGGGGGAAACTCCCTGAATTTTTTAGTTTATACACAGACATCTCACTCCCGTAAAACTACCGCAAAAATCTACCGCAATTTTTAAATTTATCCCGCACAATATTTTTAGAATTTTAACGTTTTTAATATATAAATAATAATTTTGAGAAACTAATTGATTATTTTTATAATTTTAAAATAAATTTTAAATATAGTATTTCTTTCTATCCTTAGCCCAATCATATGTTTTATTTTTACCAATAATAAATTAACATCATTTATTCATAGTTTGCCATTTTCATGTGTGTGTGTATAACATTATAGGGCTAGGCGCTTAATTATCACGTATCACGTTTAAATACATAATAAGGTAATATTGTACTTATTTCAATGATAATTATTTAATTTATTATAGTTCAATCACATTATTATAATCAGTGCAGGCATTGGCGTACGCAGCGGCCCCCCCCCCAAAGCCAAAAAATGCAGATGCCGGATATATTTTTCAAAAATATTATTGTTTAT